TCAGTTGGTGTCTTACCAGTCATTCAGTCAGTCGGTGTCCACATGTCAGTCAGTCAGTCAGTCAGTCGGTGTCCACATGTCAGTCAGTCAGTCAGTGTCCAACTGTCAGTCAGTCAGTCAGTGTCCAACTGTCAGTCAGTCAGTCAGTGTCCAACTGTCAGTCAGTCAGTCAGTGTTCAACTGTCAGTCAGTCAGTCGGTGTCCACATGTCAGTCAGTCAGTCCGTCGATGTCCACATGTCAGTCAGTCAGTCAGTCAGTCATTCAGTCAGTTGGTGTCTACAAGTCATTCAGTCAGTTGGTGTCTACCAGTCATTCAGTCAGTTGGTGTCTACCAGTCATTCAGTCAGTTGGTGTCTACCAGTCATTCAGTCAGTTGGTGTCTACCAGTCATTCAGTCAGTCGGTGTCTATCAGTCATTCAGGTGGTATCCACCAGTCAGTCAGTCAGTCGGTGTCTACCAGTCATTCAGTCAGTCAGTGTCTACCAGTCATTCAGTCAGTCGGTGTCTACCAGTCATTCAGGTGGTGTTCACCAGTCAGTCAGTCAGTCGGTCTGTGTCCACCAGTCAGTCAGTTGGAGTCTACCAGTCAGTCAGTGTCCAATTGTCAGTCAGTCAGTGTCCAACTGTCAGTCAGTCAGTGTCCAACTGTCAGTCAGTCAGTGTCCAACTGTCAGTCAGTAAGTCAGCCGGTGTCCACATGTCAGTCAGTCAGTGTCCACCAGTCAGTCAGTTGGAGTCTACCAATCAATCATTCAGTATCCAACTGTCAGTCAGTCAGTCAGTCAGTGTCCACATGTCAGTCAGTCAGTGTCCAACTGTCAGTCAGTCAGTCAGTGTCCAACCGTCAGTCAGTCAGTGTCCAACTGTCAGTCAGTCAGTCAGTGTCCAACTGTCAGTCAGTCAGTCAGTGTCCACATGTCAGTCAGTCAGTCAGTGTCCAACTGTCAGTCAGTCAGCCAGTCAGTGTCCAACTGTCAGTCAGTCAGTCAGTGTCCAACTGTCAGTCAGTCAGTCAGTGTTCAACTGTCAGTCAGTCAGTCGGTGTCCACATGTCAGTCAGTCAGTCCGTCGATGTCCACCTGTCAGTCAGTCAGTCAGTGTCCACATGTCAGTCAGTCAGTCAGTCATTCAGTCTGTTGGTGTCTACCAGTCAGTCAGTTAGTCGGTGTCCACTAGTAAGTCAATCAGTCGGTTTCCACCAGTCAGTTAGCTTGTGTGAGTCGACAGTCAGTCAGGTTGTATGTGTCTACATTAGTCAGGTAGTGTGTGTTGACGGTAAGTCAGGTTGTGTCAGTTGACAGTCAGTCAGTCAGTCATGGAAGATGAAAAGATGTATAGTTGAGGTTTACTTGTTATTTACAGATTAATGACAGATTACATCAGATTACAAAGAGATTACCAAGAGTTGCTGAAAAGTCACATCGAAGAGAAAACACAACTAGTAGAACAATTAAGGTAGGTCACCTTGTGGAATGGATCAGTGAAATATAGTGTTGTTTAATCTCATTGCAAATGTGTCTACAAATGTTATTCTAATTGGAATGTGTGTTAATTCCAGGCAACAATCAAAAACTGAATACCCATTATCAAGTGAATCAAGTGAGTATTTATCTTGTGCACATGTCATTGGTCACTCTACCACCATATGTAGTTTTTCACTGTTAGCTGGAACCAGAAAACCAGTCAACATTACTAAACGCCAACATGTGTAAGGTAACATCTGTGAGCAATTAAGATGTTTACCTCTAATTTTTCATCTAACATTATGGAAGCAACTTTCATCAGTTATGCTTTTCCCTGAGGATAAATTGTCATATTTTGTGTAAGTCATGCACTGAGCTATGTACCAGACTATATTCTGTTACCATGTCTTCACTATTTAACTGATTGCAATGTGATTTTGTGTGTATATTTCACTCAGTGATTAATGCCTTCATTTAACCTCTGCAATCATATGCCTTTCTTCAACATTTTCTAAGAACACTGATGATGTTAACAATAGAAATAACTTGTAGA